AACTTCCTTTCACAATACATGATGGCTTCATGTCATAAATAGCTGGACACACTATGTCAATTTGTCAATAATGCACATAAACATCACGGTATGTACCAATTTCTGCCAGTAATGAACAGAGTGTATTTGCTTGTCATTTTAAGACAAGAATATAAATGTCAAAGGGTACAATGACTGAGTGGCTCAGGTGGGAAGTATGGTGAAGCCGTGACACCGTATATTTTTTTCGTCTTTTTAGTTTCTATACATGTAAGATTTCATCTAGAAGTTGGCAGCAGATTTTTGTATCACTAAAGGTCCCCTAACATAAATTTATTGAAAATTAATTGAAAATAACCCGTTTTGATCTTCCAGGTTGTTTTTTTCTTGTTTTTTCTATTCTGACTTATTCTCGTTTAGAACTCCTGACAGTGACCTGGCTTAACAAACAGGCACTGGTTTCATAACAGTTTCTGCCCACAAAATTGGTCTAAGCTTTTTGACCAATAATTCGGGTCTACTTTTATTCAAGATAAATAGAAGTCAATTTAAATAGTGTATTGATTTGCAACATTATTTGCCATGCCTTTATTGTTAGAAATGAGACCCATTATTTTCATAAATTGAAGTACTACCAGTTCATCCCTGGAAAAAAATATACCTACGGTTTGGTGTGAAACACAGAACTGTTGTTCTTGCAAAAAGGATTTTTTGTTCTTTTAAGTTTTTTCTTCATTAAAGATAACTTAAAACACAGAAGATTGAAGCTCCTTAGCCAAACAAGCCCAAAAAACTCATACCAGCCAAGTACTCATGCCTTGGAAAAGCAAAAATTTACTGACCTGTTCATTATACTCTACACGTCTAAAAATTTCAACCATTGCCATTGACTACTTTCATTAATGAATTGACATCTACACTGCATATAGGTACATTTTTAATATCAATAACCAGAATTCAATGTTAGAAATTCATGAAGGATGATGTTCGTCATTTATTTAGCTGAACTCCTATTCAGTGACGTCAATATGACAATAACTGTGACCTTTAATACTGGTAGCTAGACCTTTTATACTGGTAGCTTGAACAGCACATACAATATTCAGTAAACTGTGTACGAATATAAACAATTGAAATAGATTTGTATTACTTTTTGCCTTTCTCAACTTTGCAAGTTTACAATTCAGAAAGCTAGTAGGATTATGATACATTATCATGTTTGTATTCCGAATTGATTACAATACATTAATGTAAGGCTGGGCAAGTCTGCATGCAACGACTTGTGTGCGATGCAAATTCTCTAGGCTAACAACTAGTGCTTTACTCTACTGAGCATGCAAATTAACAGAAAAACCAAACATAAATATCAACACACCATTCCCAAAATAAGATGCATTCCCAAAACAGATATGTCCAAATTCCATGTATAAATCTAGTTTCACAGCTGCACATAATTTAAGTCCTACATTTTCTGCACTAAGTAACATCTTACTGCAATGTTTCACCTTCAAGATTCTCCAAATAGAAGATGGTTCCGATCATGATAAACAACAGAACTGTCTTGTGAGGCTCATAATAAACAACAGAACTGTCTTGTGATGCTAAGTTAAAATACTGCTTTATCATGTTTAAAAGTACATTTTTAAATAAAAAAAAATTTGTGTTTGGTTGTTTTTCTTAATCTGTCATATACCAGTTGGCAAATGTCAAACTCATCAGTAAAATCAAAATACTGCCCAGAACAAAACTTACATTTTTGGGATCCTTATTAAGGCAAGTGTCTACAAAGTCTTTAAAGCTCTTGCTATAGGGACCGTGAAGCTTGGGGCTATTGTTTTTTGGAATGAGGAAGAGCACTTTCATTGGATGGAGCTCCGAGTTTGGAGGTTCACCCTTGGCGAGTTCTATAGCAGTAATACCTAAACTCCAGATGTCTGCCTGTAGTGGTAGAACACAACCAAAATCATACACAAAAGAAGTCAGAATGATAGCAAGCAGTGAGGGAAGGGGGAGGGGCGGGGGAGCATACATTTATCTTTGTTGGTTAACGACGCAAGGTGGTGCCTTCACAAAGTGGCAATGGTTGGCTGTCAGCACGGGAAAGTTGAACGTTGTCAAGTTGTTATGAAGCATGCTTTTGGTCCTAGACCTGCTTCTTTTCATGTTTGATTTTTTAATTTTTTTAAAAATTGTTTTCATTTTTTTTTTTTTTTTTTTTTTTTTTTTTTTGCAAAGGACATGCACCTTATACCATTTTGCTTGGTAGTTTCAGTTTGGAAATTCTGTTGATAACTATTGCTACCAAATCATGCAATCAAAAACATATAGTTATAGACCTGACACCATGCCAACAGCAGCCATATTGAAAAGACAGAGACGAGAAAGCTGAGACACCATGCACATGCCTGGCACCATCTTGCCTCTATGACCCACACGCAAAAAACATTAAACACCATCAATAACTTACATTGGATGGGTCCTTATTTAGACACATCTCTACGAAGTCTTTAAAATTGCGACTAAAAGGCCCGGTCAATTGTGGAGGGTTATTTTTTGGGATGAGAAACAGGACTTTCATTGGGTTTTGATCAGCATATGGGGGCTCTCCCTTGGCCAGTTCAATTGCTGTAATTCCTAAACTCCAGATATCAGCCTGCAAATGAAGAACATGGTTAACATTGTCAAATGCTCTTGGGAAATCTATGAAGAAATAAAAATTAGCATGAATCAATAAGGGTTCCATCTGGAAGAAAATGATGGTGAACAAATATACACATCAAAATTTCAAAGTTGTAGAATAAAATACTATACAGAAATTTTAGAAGTCAAGGGGAAAAAACATGTAGTAATAAAAAATGAACATTTTGTACTTGCACTATAAAATTTTGAAAACTAAATGCCTCAACTTTTCAAAGCTACATTTACAAAAAGGGATACAGGTTGAGGAATATATATGAGCCAACAGAATACTGGGCTCACTCTACCAAAATAGAAAATATTCATCACAGGGAGATTCTTCAAAGTTTGTGCAACTTCTCTCACTTGGAAACTTTTTACATTACCCATCTATCAGGCAAGTTTCTTTTTTTTTCTTGATTTTTTTCCTAATAAGAATACAAATTTCCTTTGTAGTGTGGGGTGGGATTTCATTAAGGTAGAGCAAACCCAGACAAGTAATGCCCATACATATAAAAGAGTTAAATTAAGAAACATCAAGAATACAGCTTCATTTTGTAAAGCGTTATTTTTCGGCCCGTAAAATGCATCTTACTTCTCAAACATGACGTCTCCTGCTGGAGGTGAGCAGACTGGGACACCATTAAATCTCCATTTAATGTATGAAAATTTGCTACATACTTTAAGCTTAAGAGTCCCATTAAAGAACAGTCATTACAGCACAATACCACATCATTAAGATTTCAAACATGTAAGACACTGAAGATTTCTCTATTTCAAGATCATGATGATGATCATAAGGATAATTATTATTTCCATTATTAATTTTATTACTATAAAATAAATATAAAGATTAAAAACAAACCTTTGAATCATATGCTGACTGTTTAATGACTTCAGGTGCCATCCAAAATGGCGTCCCTACAAATGTGTTTCTTTTATTGATTGTGTCTGTGAGTTGACCCGCAACCCCGAAATCTGCTAGCTTCACCTCTCCCGTCTCTGAGAGCAGCACATTGGCAGCTGAAACAAGACAAATAATGAGTGAAAACAGTCTGTATAATAGAAAAAGTACTCTCTCTCTCAAAGTGGTTTTGTCACTATAAAATCAGTGTACTGACATTTGTTGAAATAATGGCAATTATCAATAATGAAAAGCAAAGTGATTTATCTTTTAAAAAGTAAACACTGGATCACAAAATATGACCAAGCATAACAAACAAGATGCAAGCAGGAAGTTCTGTGTTGTTTGCATGAATAATACAATAACCATAAACAGTGTAATTAGAATATATGGCCACAAAAGCAATGAAATTTTCATATAAACTGTCCACACACATTTGCAGGTATTGGTAAAATAATTATGAAACAAGATAACAAGACACACTGCATATTTCATACCAATTTTAATATATTGAAACAAAAACTTAAGCTAAGGAGCTTTCTGATCTTTTAACTCCCTTTGAGAGCAAAACTGATACTAATACACTGGGGCAGGCATTTAAATTTTAAGTAACTTAGCAGTACAGTATTTTGGCCCTTGACAAAAGAGTTTTAAAAATCTTGACAGGTAACTCCACAGATTCCATAAAAGCAATGTAAAAGATGGAAGTCAGAAAAGCTGCATTTCTTACAACTGTTACACATTTTCTCAATTAACCTTGTTAAGCTCTACAAAGACCTTGATTCAGATTTCAGGAGCTAATTTCATTTTGAGACAACATTAAGTACACAAAAT